ACAAGGCAATCAATTTTCTTTCCATGGTCTGTACTTGGTCTACTCACTACCCTAACTTCTTCTAACTGCAAAAATACTCTTCCTAGTCCCAGGGAAAGCACTTAATACCTCTTATTTCCAGAGCCACGAGAAACCAGATGTACCTATACTGCTGAAATCACACTCACTTCTATTTCCTCATGAGGGAAATAAAAACTTGTGTACCCCCATAATTTGAAAGCTTTGGAGGACTAAAGAAATGTGACATTTGGCGTTATAAGATAAAAAGAAAGAGATAATCATGAAATGCTTCCAAGTGAAGTACTTTTAGTCCCAAATCAGATTTGCTGATTTTAAGTCCTGTTCAACTTTTCTTGACAGTTTTGGTGACCAAGATAGTTCTTTTCCTGTCTCGTCAGGGAGAATTCTTGATGGATACAGGGTTTACGGAGTCTAAAGAGAATATACAGTCTACAGCATTCATTTCCTGTTGGGGAGAGAGCCCTGCAATGACCAGAAAGTTTGAGCCAACTTTAGTATAAAAAATTAAGACTCTGGTACCAAATGAGATCGACTGTACACAGATGAGCTAGACTCACTCAGCGTCACTGGCATGTTCGAATGCGTGTGAAATTGGCAGAAAAATCATGCTGGAGCTTCAGAGGCCTCTGACATGGTGATAGCTGGTCACTGTCTTCCACAGTCAAGGACATAAGGCCTTCCAGGGCCAATGGGTCTTATTCCATGTCTTACTCCAAGACATAAAGATTGTCCTTAATAATGTAGATACTGTCTTCTGCTCGGACACACACTTCAGCTGTACTTTGTAAAGCTCCAATCTGAGGGTCAGTGAAACCATGTTTAGTTGCTCCAGCTTGTTTCTCATGCATAAGTATTTTTTGGTGATTATGGCAACCAAAAAAATGAGCAATACCATGGCAGGAATACAGATTCCAATGTAGAGTCTCTTACTGGTGATCATCCGTGGATTTTGTGCCGAGGACACGTGAGTTTGATTGCTATGCCAGAGGCCATCTGAAGACTGTGTCACAGTGCCACTGCCATCTGTCGGGCAAGAGTACAGTGGTGAATTGGTAGGTTGATAGTCCTCGTTCCCTGCAGTGTGGTAGGCTGGGTTTCGGCTGTCTGCACTGGTGAAGATGAAGTGGCAACTGGTTGGAGGCTCTGTGTGGGTGCAGCCACTGGAGAAGCAGAGGTAAAGACCCTAGGTGATGTTGGAACACGGGTGACCTCAGCTGGCTTTATCTCCAATGATAAGGTGTGTTTCACATCATTAAACCACCCCGGGTGCTCAACATGGCAAGAATACTAGCCACTGTCAGCCTGGGCTGCATTCTCTATGATCAAAGACACATTCCCTTTCAAAAGGTCTCCCTCCAGCTTATAACGTGTATGCTTCTGAAAGGTGATATGGGTTCCATCAATCCAGACAAGTTCATCTGAGCATAGATTCCTAGGACACGCACCTCGGCCCCAGCACGTGGTCGTGACTCCATTAGCTGTTGAGTAGGTGCAGGGCAGTATGACAGGCTGGCCCACCACACACTCACTTGTGCATCAGAAACTACAGCATCTGTCAGAAGCAGTATGAGGCTTGAGATGGCCACCCAGGGGTGCATGACGGTATGGCCAGTGGGTGAGGCAGCAGATGCCCAGCTCGTCTGGTGGTCTGTCACCAATTCTTCCTCTAAAGGTTTTTATGGATAAAGGCTAAGGCATCTTATTTTAAATAACTGTTACTTTGAGTTTGCTAGATTCTTATAAAGGAATTACTTCAGTTATCTATTGTGGCATGATAAACCACCCCAAACTTAATAACTTAGCAACAACTTATTATTGTTTTTCATGGTTCTGTGTGTTGACTAATTCAGCTTGGCCATCTTTGCTTGGGGTCTCACGGTGTCACCGTTCAATGTTGACTGGAACTACAGTCATTTGAAAGTTTGACTGCTTGACGCCTGAGCTGGTTCCCTTCTACAACTGGTAGTCAATGTTGACTGTAGGCTGGGAGATCAGCTGGGATTGTTGACTGCAGCACTACCTGCTGCCTCTCCCTGTGGGCTTGGGCTGCCCACACATGATGGCGGGACTCAGAGAGAGCATGCGAAGGACAAGCATTCCAAAAAACCCAGGAGGAAGCTGCAGGATTCCGTAGGAACTAGCCTTGCAGTTTCAGGGAGTCATTTCCATTGTGTTCTGTTGGTAAACCAAGTTACTAAGTCCAGCCTAGGTTCAAGGAGAGGAGAACCATACTCCAGCTCTTGATGTGTAAAGCTATATGTACAATAGAGGGAGTTGTTATTGGGGCAGCAATCTTTGGAGACAGTCTATCCTCTGGCCCCCACAATTCATATACATCCTGCATAAAAATACACTCATTTTCCTTCCCAAGCCCCAAGGTCTCACCCCCTTATGGCCTAAGATCTCTTTCTTGTCTTGTTGTCAGGTCATGGATGAGGCTTTGTGGGTGTGGTTCCTCAAGTACAGTTCTTCATCTGAGGAGCAGTAAAGTAAAGAAACAAGATTTTGGCCCCTTACATGTCCGGTATACAGTGGTGAACAGTGATAGGGTAACTGTAGTAGACCCTTCTGGTAATAAAAGAGGGAATGCAAGTCACTTTGCAATACCTGATCCATAGTAATTGTGCAATCCAGACAGACACCTGTTGCCAGTTGCTCAGTTAGGGCTCATACCTAGTCTCTACATGTCATTCTCTGGCTCTGGACTTCACACTCTGAGCTATCCTTCCTGTCTCATAAATAGTCAGATTTTGTGTTGAATAGCTTTCATAGCCTGCTGCCTGCCGGTAGATAGTTGGGGACCTAAAGATCTCTCTTCATTTTGAACTGTTCCTGCCTTTCAGTCCCATCTCATGTAACACCCCTAGAATGTGGGCTTCCTGAGTATCCCATTTTAATCTCCTGCATTAGACAGAAGTCACACCCACACAGCTCTTAGAGACAGTCTCATTTCACTCTTGTCTGAAAGGGCTGTGGGAAAACACTCCTAGAATTCTTAAAAATGTTCTTCTTATCTACAGAGATTAAGAGGCATTCCCTTAAGATTCTTGGAAACTTTTCCCGAGAGGTTCTATAAAGGTGTGTCCTTAAGTCTTTGTGAGATGTCATCAAAGAGTACTCTTGACTTCATCTCTACCCCAATTACTTCAAGAATATTTTGCTGACTAGAGTGTCCTGAGACCTTCCTGTTTTTCCTAAAATCTGCTCACAACCTGAACACTTCTCTTAATCAGTTCATCTCCCTATATCCATGCCTTGTCATATGCCCGTAGAAGAAACCAGTTGACACTTTTATTAGGTATTTCTATTTTCCATTTTAGGGTGAGCGAGGTTTTTACCCAATTTCTGCCACTATAGGACACGGCTGCCTTTTCTGTAGTGTCCAGTTAGAGCTCGCTTGTTGCCCATCAGGCTGCCCAAGCAGTCTCCTCAGGGACTGTCCTGCTCCTGCTGCCCCTCAGTCCTTAAGCCACGCTGTGTTCCAAGTTTTTGTTGTGGCAGCAGCCTATTTTCACTTATCAGTTTCTGTTCTGATTGCAGCAGCCAACAATAAATGGGTATATTATTTTGCTAATGATTCTGTGGGTCAGGAATTCAGGAAAGGTGCAGCTGCATAGATCATCTCTTTCTCCTGTGGCGTCAGCTTCCTCACTCACATTATCTCAGGACCTAGCGTGTCTTTCCCTCTCTCTAACTCACACTTCCTCCTTCCTCCCCATTTTCCTTGTCTGTCTATCCTCCCATATGCTGTCCCATCCTCCAGAGCTCCTATATGTGGTGGGCTCAGAATAATCACACTTATTTCCTGACAGCCAACTTCCAAAAGGCAGGAAATAGAAACTGCCAGGCTTATTATGGGGTCTGCCTGGAACTGCAGTGTTATTCTTACTGGTCTGTGCAGTTCGAGGGCCATTTGGGTTCAAAATGGGGAGAAAGATAGACTTCCTCTCGATGGGGCAGAAGGTCAGTTTGTAGAAGAGCGTATGAAGGGGAGATACTGCAGTGGACGTCTTTGAGGTACACAGTCTACCAGACAAATTTTAGAAATTATTTCAAGTTTGATTTGCCAGCACTTTGTGTGTGTGTATACATGTGTTTGTTTTGTCAGATGCGGCTCTCAGGAATGCAACTTTGTAAAGCATTCCGAATTCCTAGGAAGCTTTCCCCCTTTATTTCTTGCTCAGGAATAATTCAAGCGGATCAGAATTACCTATTAGTCTAAAGTTTGATCTTTTTCATAAAACCACCTGAATTGCTTGCATAATTAGTTTAAGATTTTANTAACCGTTCCCTAGTCCTGTTGTTAACTAAGTATAGGTGATAACCCATTCCCCATAATTTGCATTACAGCGTTCACCTGTGCGGTGTTACATAGTCTAGAATCTGGGTTTCTGTTCTCTTCTATCAGTATGTAAACTCTTTTCCCATGCCATGTTTTGAATTATCTTAACCCTGTCCCAAGCATCTTAAGGTTGTGAAAGTCACTAAATGTTCATGCCCATAAAATATGACTAAATACCCCTCGATCCACACTAAGGATTTATGAATTTAGGCTATTAAGTTTTAAAAATCTTATCAAGAATTTGTTTAATATATAATTTAGCCAAATATTTTTATGCTAAACTGTGTTTTCTAGAAAGAAGTGGAATAAATAGAAGAAGATACCAATATTCAGTTTTATGCTTGTGAGCATGACTTTCAAATATGTAACTTGGTGTATGGAGGTTTTTCAGAAGGAAAAAAATTAATAAAGGCAGTAACCAAATGCATTCACCACTGAAGACAGTACAATATTCAAGTAATCTAAAACATACTAGTAAAGAATTTTTATAATTTGTTGAAGAAAGCTATTTTTGGAGTATATCTAATAATATTTAATTTTTTAACAATATCATATAATTAATAAATAACTTTGGAATGTACTTTTAAACAGAATGAATCTTTTATTTTCACTAATCTAGATTATTTTTGTTTTCCAGATACTGTTTTGTGTTTGCTTTGGGATACCTCACAGTGTGCCAAATTACTAGAGTCTATATCTTTGATTATGGACAGTATTCTGCTGATTTTTCAGGGTAAGATTAAAACTTTGATTCAGTAGCCTGTTTTATCTATTCTAACATGTTGGTTCAAAGGCAACATATAGCTGCTTTAGTAGTTAAAATGAAAAGTTATTGATAAACATTTTAGGTGAAAATTCCTCTTTGAATTTAGAATTTTTCATCTTACCAAGTAGTCTTTTATAGTGCAATCTAAGTCACATAAATAACCTGTCCTTCTAAATGGACTTACATAAATCTCTAAATATGTAGCAATTAAATTTGTTACATTGCATTCTGATACTGAAAGGATTTGCTAATTCTGATAGAAATTTCTACAATTATTTGTAATTATTGAAAACCAGTCCCCCTTAATGAAACATCCTTGCTACCCTTTCTTTCTTTGTTCTCCTGGTTCCCTTTTATACAGTCATTTACCAGCTTCCATGTAAGACCTGGCCACTTGCTCCTGCTCCTTGGAACCCATGAGACTTTTCCTGGACTAGAGAGACCCGAGGGCGAGCCTTCTCAGACCACAGTTCCTAGAGAAGACCCTTGAGCATGTGTTTTAATTTTAGGCATTTCACTTTTATAAAATGTTCTACATTCTTATATCTAGTATTCAGCTGAACAGTAGAAGTAACTTCTGGCTTTTATTGCTTTAGAGAGGATATAGTTCCTCCATGGTACTCTTTGCCCTGTAACAAAACTGATTGAATGTTATGAGGTAAATGCAGTCAGCATCTGTATGAAGGGACATCTGCTCACACCTTGGTTCCAGGTGGGGAAGTTAAAGACAAGCCTCTGTATTCTTCGTGTCACGCCTGACAGCTTTCTGAACAAGATACAAAGACCTGTTTTAAGTCTGCTTGAGTCATCTGGACAGGATAAAAAGTGACCAGCAAATCCAGTCTAAGGATAAGCGAAGTGGAAAAAATAAACAACCATGGCATCTGTGAAAAACAATTAGTCAACAATAGAATTTAAAAAGATCAATTTTTTTTTCTTCTTAATGGGATTAAAGTAGTTTTTTAAAAACTACTTTTATGAAACAGATTTTAAAAATAGGCTTGGGTGAAAGAGAGAGCCACAAGAATAAGAGACACCAAAACAAAACTGATTAAGGGCACTGAAAAGTCTGGTTAGTTAAGTTATAAAATACTGAGTAGACTAGAGAAATACACCTGGAAATCAGAAAAGGGGAATAGGTGTTGGTGAAATGGTTTGTATTCTTGAAGAAAAAGAGCTAATGAGAAGAATCAAAAATATATTGGGCCCCGGTAAAAATCTCAAAGGATTTTAAGAAGTAACCCAGGTCACATGTTGTCATCATAGTGTAATGAAAGTTAAGAGTAAGTTGTAAATGTTTGAAAGAATCAAAGTCACTTAGAAAATTTAATCTTCCTGGGAACAGTGAGTATACTGGTGTTGTTCATCATAGTATCCTTAGGGCTTAGCACATAGTGACATTAAGAGATTACTTACTGAATCAATAATAATACTTTACTTAAAAAGAAAATAGAAAATACAGTGAGAGAACTGGAAAATACCAGTGTGGAAAAACTTGAGCAATGTGGACAAAGCTGTACTAACATAAATCCATAGCTCTGAATACTTGTAGTATAATGAATGAGAAATAAATTAAGCATTTAATATGAAATAGAAACAAAAAAGAATAGTCCTGACTAATTCAGTTTTTGCATGTTGATAACAGAAATGTCAATGTTAGCAGCTGAAAGTTTACAATAGTGTAAAATAATGAGTTTTCAAGTTGACTTTTAGAGTCCCAAGACTCGGCAGCAAATACCAGAAGTGCTAAGCAGAGGAGGCTCTAGCTCTGTCTAACCTCAGCCACATCTGTTGTGTGTTTCTCTGGCTTTATACTGGAATTCCCATAATATCTCATTTAAAAAAATATTGTGCTGCTTGTATTTTTAAACAGATTAAAAAAGTAGCTTGACATAGCTAATTGAGTATATTAAAATGGATTGTGAATACAGAAGTGTCTGATGCAGTGTCTGCTGGGCCGTTACAGCCTCTCTTTCGGTCTGTTTTTAGTCATTACCTTTTTTCTCTTCCCTGCTGTTCTAAATTCTTGTCCCTGGCTAGGTGGGGATTGGCTAACTGCTGTTAAAACAGTGACATAATTTCAGTGGCTTAACCCCCTAATAGTCTACTTCTCAGTCACATGACAGCCCTCTGAGGAGCCAGCCTCTGCTCCACACAATCGTTTAGGGACCTAGGTGCCTTCCTTCCTGGGGCTCCACCTCCTTCAGGGTCTCTGGAATTTATTTAAGATTAAGTTGATGGAGAGGTTGTGAAGTGTGAGCGAAGGGAGAGCATGTTCACCTCTTCTGCTCACGTCCTATTAGAAAAGACTAGTTACATGGCCCACAAATTAGAAGATAGCTTACATAGAGTTTACAGTAACAACAAAATGCATCTTAAAAACACCAGTTTTATATGACATGGAATTGAATATTTTGCTGATATTTAAAATCTCATTAAATTATTTAATCATGATTTAAAATGTTTTAGTATATAGAAAGAAAATGACATAGTATTTTAAAGAAGGACAACCTGAAAAGAAACTCCCAGTTTAATATGTAATTTTTATCTATTGGAAGAAAACATTTGACCATTATTAGTGAACTGATACATTAGACGGGGACACATTAGCTGAAGGAGACCATCCTGGCAGAACTAACTTGAACTACTCTTTTTTAATGGGCACAGGAGAGAAAAGAAGCCATCTAGAAGCAGGGCTCCTATTAATGAAATATTCAGGCATTCAGAAGGCTTGAGTGTGTTATATAACACAGGAGCAGAAGAGACCCTAACTTGATTCTAATTAGGGTAAATATAATAGTTATCCAACATGTTAGGTGCCTAAAGAAAGTAGAATTGAATGAAGTGACCCAGCCTTTGTGTCAGGCTGTCCTGTTGCCTGAAGCTAGAAGCAGAGGAGAGGATGTGAAGCCAGGCTCTTGCAGAGGAATCACTTGGGAGCGCCTTTGTTCCAGGCAATCTTACTTGCACAAACCGTGGCAAACTCGTGTGTGTGTGTGTGTGTGTGTGTGTGTGTGTGTGTAGTTAGGTTTGAGATATATATTTTAAGTGATTAAATAAAAGGGACTTGTTTCTTAATAGAAATATCTTTTTGAAAAACTGGTTGAAAAGGTACTGAAGTTGTTAGCTTTTATGTTAGCCTCAGAAAATAGATACAAGTATAAAACAAATAGATTTCCTTTATATCAGCAATAACTAGTTAGAAAATACAGTAAAAAAATGAATCCTAGTTTCAAAAGCAATAAAGACTATGAAATACCTAGGAATACATGTAAAGAGAAAAGTACAGGCCCTCTGTCTAGAAAACTATTAAACTTTAGGGTATAAAAAAAAGACTAACTGGAGAAACATCTTGTTTGTTCAGATAATAAAACTCAATACTGCAAAGATGGTAGTTCTCAAGTTAATCTGTAGGTATGATGCAGCTCAAGTTGGGGTTTTGAGGGAAATGAGATAAATAATTGAAAAGTTTCTCTAGAAGAATAAGTGCTTGAAAATAGTAAATTAAATCTAAAAACATACTGCTATTTGTAAAGCAGCCATCATTTAAATATTGTAGGACTGACATAGCAATAGACAAATCAAAGAAGCCAGAGTAGAGAAACAGACCCATGGATCTGAGAATAAGTGTACAGAATAGAAATGGTAGGATTACAGATCACGGGGGGAAAGCCCCTCTCAATTACTCAGTAAATGGTATTGAGACAGAAAAAGAAAGGTAAAGGCTGTCCTCCTATGTAGATAAATAATTTGTAGATGGAAGCAAGAATATATTTTTTGAGGGGAGGGTGTGCAGGAAAGTAATGAGTTCTGATTGGAATATGTTTCTTTTTGTGGTGCCAAAGGGAGAGCTTAATGCATCCATGAAAAAAGATACATGTGACAAGATTGTCCATTCAAATAAAGAATGTGCTTTAGAGCAAACCAGGCAGTATCAGATGCTCAGTAAATGTTCTGTTACTGCTCGACTCCTGCGTGTTTATTCAGCCAAGGTTTGTTGAGCATGGGCTGTGCATTTACTAGGAGCTCTGTACTTCCGTGAGCAACCGTCCTATTAAGCGTGAGAAGGGATGGATCATGTGGTCTAAGAGCTACAGGTGCTACTGTCTTGTTCACTCCTTTTGGAAAGTCTTAGTCAAGCCAAGCATCTAAATTTAGGCATCCCTCTGTGCTCTGTGAACTGAGTTCTGGAAGGCCCCTGGCTGCTCTTTTCTCACACTGGGCCTGGTGACTGTGTTGTAAATGGGGAGATATAAATTATTCAGCTGCTAAACCTTAGTGTTCCATTTAACCTGTTTCATCCTGTGGGAGTGTCTCCCAACACTTTGCCCTACATTTGGTTAAAAGAAACGTTGTTTCCTTGATGCCCACTGAGTTCAAGTTACTGAGAGTAAACAGACATGGAGCTATTACATGACATCGTGTTCCCCGCCCTGCCCAAGCCTTCCCTTCTGGTTTTGTGTGCACGGACAGAGCAGCATGGTCTAATGCTGTTCATCAGAAAGGTGCAGTGTTTCCTGCCTCTCAGCCCTCCACGCCTCTCAGCCCTGTTCTGCCCACTCTTCCTTCTTCAGTTCTAGCTCTTCCTGTCTTTGTCCTGCTCATCCCCTGGCTCTGCTTGGAACACCCTTCCCCACCGTGCCTGCATATCCAGGATCCCCCAATCTGAAAGCCCTGGGTGAAACAGCTGCTGGAGGTGTTTTACCCTCAGTTTTCTCTATTGGAAGTTATTTCTCGTCTCTAAATATTTCTTCAAAGATCTCATTTGGCTCTTAACACTTTTTTATATAGTTATTCACAAACCTGTTTATCTCCTCTTAGTGAGAAATCTCCTTCAGAGACAACACTTCACAGTTACTCGCTGCATCCCTCAGTGCCTTACGCCTAGTCACGGTGCCAGTATTTATTAAATGAGGTTTTATAAAGCATCTGCTGTGTCTCAAATACTGTCCAAAGTATTTTGTCAT